CTATAATAAAGATTATTATATAAGCCATGTGTTTATAAGGCTCTGTGTCTGCTTCAGATTCTTACCTTTTATTGTTACATAGATTGAGATGAGAATAACCTTTTGGATATCTTTTTTTTTTCTTGTTCTTGAGATTTTCATGGGTCACGTTTTGTGGCAGTCCAGTATTCTTCTGTTAATTATTTCAATTATTTCTTGCATTGTTATATAGGTCATAATAGTTAATAATGTATTTGTATGTTACTTTTAGGGTTTTTTGGGTACTGTTTACATGATATTAGTGAAAATAAAATTGATCAGTACTGTGACTTTCAAAACACATTGCTGGATTATTTTTTCTTAAAGATTTTATTCTTGTTAATATGCTCTTCTGTCAAAGCACAACTGTGAGTTTATTTTGTATTAATTTTTTTCTTTTTTTATTCTTAGGTGATGAAGGGGATAACTTCTATGTGATTGATCAAGGAGAAATGGATGTAAGATTTAGTTATAAAAGAAATGTCTTAATAATCTTAAAAGTCAATGTTTTGATTTTTATTGCTTCTAGGCAATGCGTATTTTTCTTGTTATGATTTCTGCATTTTATTTTTATTTTAAAGAAAAGAAAGAACAATAAACAGTAAAAATGATTCAGAATTTCAAAATAAGGTGATAGGAAATGAACAGTGGTTGTTACTTTACATATTGTTATCTTAGTTGCTCAGATTACCAGATAGAAACATACTATTGATCAAACAACTAGGCTGGGCGTGGTGGCACACCCCTGTCATCCCATCACTTGGGAGCTGAGGCAGGAGAATTGGGAGTTTGAGTCCAGTCTGGGCTACAAAGTGAGCTCAAGGCCAGTGTGAGCTGCATAATGAGACCTTGTCTCAAAAAGACCAAAACAAAACAAAAAACGAAACATTAACTGTCTCTCTCAATAAACCAGTAGAAATCAGTACAGTTATCCTAGCCATCATGCGCAAGTGTGTATATAAATATAATTATATTTCCCTTTTCTTCTTTCTCCTTTCCCAGTTCTTTCATTTTAAAAAAATGATAAACATAACAAACCCAGTTTCACACAGGTTTTTGGGACAGTTCCTGTAGTTGATACATTGTGTATTGTTTTCTTCCTAGTACTAATTGAATTTTTTTTTTTTTTTTTGGTGGAACCGGGGATTGAACTCAGACACTTGGGCTTGCCAGGCGAGCGCTTATTCTACTGAGCCATCTCCCCGGCCCCTTCCTAGTACTAATTCAGAGTAGAAAATAAGCATAGTGTTTCTGAAGAGCTTTCACAGCTCTTTTATGTTAGATTTCAGTACCTTTTGTTGGGTATTTTTATGACACAAAGGTTAGTTCTCCAGCTACAACCTATTTTGGGGGTGGAGGTAAAGTGTGCATATATATGTGGGGAAGCAAGGTCAAAATGCAGCAGAGGAGTGTCCACACCTGGCCCTGGCCTGTGAGACAATACGGCTGTCTTCTGTAAGTCCTGTTTACCAAGCAAAAGGAGGACCGAAATAGCACTGGTACGGGGTAATTAGGGAATTCAGGACCTAGTGCAGGCGGAGTGCTTGGTGCAGTGCTCGCCACCGCAACTGCGGGGTAAGTGTGTTCTTGTTAGTACTGCGTGGCTGACCTGTTCTGCCATCATGTCCAAAGAGAACTTTTCATATCAGGTAATTGTGCATTTAGGTCATTGTCAGAATTCCAACTGTTCTGCTTCACTATTTTCTGAAAACATAATGTATATGCTTTTAAAAACAAGGATTCTGATTCTTTCAAAGAAGTTTGAGAATTTTTAACATTCTTTTATATATGTAGAGAAAAAGCCCTTGATGTCGTTTGCATTTTAGGTATATGTGAACAATGAGTGGGCAACCAGCGTTGGGGAAGGAGGGAGCTTTGGAGAACTGGCTTTGATCTATGGGACACCTAGAGCAGCCACTGTCAAAGCAAAGACAAATGTGAAGCTGTGGGGTATCGACCGAGACAGCTATAGAAGAATCCTCATGGTAAGAGCATGAGCTGTCGGAGTGTGACCTGTAATTCTGACCTGTGTAAATAATATTTGAGTAAGGCCACAAATTGAAATGACAGCACGTCATACTTGTAATGATTATTTTGCATTGAGCCCTGTTTAGCATTATTCATCATGTCACTGGAGGCAGTGAAATTTTAGAACAAAAATGTGGCCAGAAATGACAGGTGTGTGTAGAAATGTATTGGCTTGCCCTTAGGTGTTAATTTACCTAATGCCGCCCACTGCAGATTGTCCGCCAGGCTGCTTTAAGTGCATAGCGTTATTTAAGGCCACTCAGAAGAGATTAGCATCTTTACATTGAAGATGAGTTGTCAGTAATACATATATCATGTCCTCTATGTTCTGTTAATATAGTCAGAGCTTTTGAGAACTTTATGACATATTTAAAGAGTAATTTAGGATGTTTAAGTCTTAGCTAATAGCATTGGCCATTCTGAATGATTTTCTTAAATTTTTGCAGAGTTCATCTATGCATTTGGAATTTTTTTTAATACATACGTATATATATTTTTTTAAATCCTCCTGTATTTCTGAGTATCTTATGTACGTACCAAAATGCACAATGCTCAAGTCCCCTTCATAAAATGGTGGTGTGTTTGCATGTCACCTGTGCATTCTCTGTGAACCTAAAGCGTTTTTTTCTATTAGTGCATGTTTGTAGAACTGTCGCCTACCTTTCGTGGAGTTGGTACATATACGTAGCACATCCTACTTCCTTAATCCCCTTGCCCGCTGCCCCCACTCTCCATCTGTGATCACCTTCCCATTTGAGAAGGATCTCTCTCTTCCTACTGACTATAGCCTTTTACTTTGCTCTTTATATGGAGTTTGGGTTTCTTGTAGAAGAATCCATGTGACATGTATGCTTGTGTGTCAAATTTATTTCCCTGAACATTAAGGTCTCGGTGCATCCATCTTCCTACAAGTCTCAAGTTTATCTTACAGCAGGGTAGTATGCACCGCACTGAATTAGATTTCCTTTATCCATTCATCTGATATTTGATACACAGGCTGCTTCCATGATTTAACTATTATGACTTGTTCATATAAACATGGGTGTGCGTACATTGCTGTAATATGATGTCTTTAACTTGTTGGGGATGATTGCTAGAAAGGGAATATCCAGGTCAAAGGGAATTTCTAGTTTGGGTTCATTTGTGGACCCACTGTGCTGCTTTTCATACTGCTTCCATAGTTTGCTTTCCCATCACCAATGTAGAAGGGTTCCCTTTTTTCCCATGCTTTACATGATCTCTGGATTACTCACTAATGCCCAATATGAGGTAAATGGTAAATGTGTGTTTTGCTGTGGTGTTCAGAGAGCAATGTCAGGATAAAAGTCGGCATGTGTTCAGGACGGGAAGAATTTTTCTGAGTACTTTTTATTTTTATTTTTATTTTCCCATAATTTTATTGAGAAATAGCAATGAGACAGTTTCAAATTGAATTGGTAGGACAGTTCCAATAATTAACACATTGCATACTGCCTTCCTAGTGGTTATTTGTTGTACAAGATGCAGACATGATATCCTATTTACAAACACTATTAGAACAAATGCCTCTATTCCTTGAATTAAGAGAATGTAGCTATATAATTATCCTAACCATTTTGAATACACAGATACAAAGTAGTCATTGATCTATATCCCCTTTTTTTGTTTAGTTCCATCATTGAAATTATTATAGGTGTGTGAACTCAGCAAAATATTCCAAAATAGTCCAGTAGTCCATAATAGTATCGGGTCTTCCACTTGACTGGCAGTGTCAGAAGTTGTTGACCTGAGTCCCCTGCAGCTCAACATAACAGCATGGCTTTACTTCTTACACTTCGTTAATCTGCCTTTGGTTAAATTTGTGCACGTGGAATCCGTGGGTGTGGAGGAAAGACTGTAGTGTATCTATCTGGCACATACACACGTGCATGAAGTATGTAGGTACGTAGATTTCTGGCAGGGCGGTACATTGAAGCATATTTGCCATATAAGGAAGCTTTATTTTTTTTCCTGGCGATTGAACTCAGGATCTTGTGCTTGCCAGGTAGGCAGTCATCCCACTGACAGGCTATCTCCCTGGCCCTGGGGAAGTTTTATTATCAGAGAAAGTATGTTTCCCTCTTTTTCTCTCAGATGCAGTCAGTGTACTTTGCAGGTAAGACAGCTTAGTTGTGTTTGGGGCACTGGGATGCTTCTGTTTTTTGGAGTCCATAAGTGGCAGCAGTTTATTTCTCTGTGGGGAAGTATGCTGTGCAGGGAATGTGAATTTTGAAGAACTAATACTTTGCTTTTCTGGCATTTCACTGCCTGGTACTGCTATGTACTGTCTTTGGCCAACATGCCTGGTGTTTACTTGGGAGCAAGTTACAGAGAGCTTTTTTTCTGTATTGAGTAGGAAGTCAGCTGTTTTCAGCTTGAAGAAAAACAATGACCAAAAAGAAGTCATTTGGGTGGGATGGCGCACATTTGTAACCCCAGCACGTGGGGGGACTGAGGCAGGAGGACCACCGTGAGTTTGAAGCCAGCCTGGGCTGCATAATGAAGTCAAAGCTAGCCTGAACTACGGCGTGAGACCCTGTCTAAAAAACAAGAATCAGAAGCAGTGCAAACTTGACTTTTTAAAGTTTCTTTGAAACTGCTGTTTCACAGCATCGTATAATAATGTGTGTGTGTGTGCTTAATTTACAGGGAAGCACACTGAGAAAGCGGAAAATGTATGAAGAGTTCCTCAGTAAAGTCTCTATTTTAGGTGAGTGTGAAGGTTTGTATGGAGAACTGGTCCGATGGTAATGATACTCAGCAGAGCCTGTTATTTTTCTAAAAAGTTAACTGGCTTATTTTTTTGCTAATAGTAGTGAAAAGCATGTGGGAATGTTTTATAACAGTATTGAAAGTTGGACTGCCTGCTGTAACTAGACTTGGGAAAAGCTTTCTGAAAGTACAGGCTCTGCTCGTTCTTCCTAGAAAGATAGGAGGGCTAAAAGGATCTGCCTGTGTGACACGTTCCACCCTAATTCTGTCCTTGAATGCATTGGTTCTGAAAGGAATCTCCATGAATGCATTTTGTCTGTGGAAAGATTAGGTATCAATTGTTGGCATCCTCTGCAAGGATGTCCCGCTTCTTGAAATTTATAGGAAAGCAAGTTAGTTAGAGATTCTTTGTGTGGGTTGTTGTATAGACGGGGAAAGAATAGAATTTAGGATTTAGAAGAAGGGCAGGGATTTCTATGAAACTACAATCTGTTGTTTGTTGGTTTACAGAATGATTAATTTTTTGCAGTGTACCCTTTAAAATAGTCACGTTTGCTTAATGTCCCAGTTACAGTTTGGCTTTTAGGAACAAAAATTATTTTCCTGTTCTTGTTTCATAAATAAATTCAGCTGAGCACTTTGAGCCTTTTGAAAAATACGGATGGTGATTCTGCTGCGCGGAGCAGTGTTTAAAGATAGCTGCCAGAGCTGCGTGTTCTCTGACCAGGGGAAGGGCTGCTCACTAGAGTCTCTCTCGACTTTGTTTCAAGTTTTAGCACCAAGTGACATAGAGAAACTTCGGGGCTCTTGTCTTTCAGAGTCTCTCGACAAGTGGGAGCGGCTCACAGTGGCTGACGCGTTGGAGCCGGTGCAGTTTGAAGACGGGCAGAAGATTGTGGTTCAGGGCGAGCCTGGGGACGAGTTCTTCATTATACTCGAGGTGAGGCTCTCGACGTGTGACCTCCTCCGATGCTGGGCCAATTCTGAGGGCTATGGCTCTTGAGTTTTAAGAGTATTGGAGTTTTATTTACAGACTATCTTTTACTTTAAATGCGTTTATTTAGTTTTTCTGCTAGCCTGCGTTGTTTATAAAGAGTTTGAGTTGTGATTGTGGAAGGCTGCTAGATACAAGTAGCCGCACACAGAGTAGTGCCTGCGCTTCATCGCGTAAGCCAAGAAAACTCACAACCACCGTGAGTGATTCTGCACTACCCTTGTTAAGATGTAAACGTGTGGGGTACTTGGTAAATAGCGGCAGAGCTGCTTAATGAATTGTGTAAGTTAGTGTGTTCTGTGTCTGTGTAATCCCTGGAAATGTGCAGCAGATAATCTTGCCTGCCACGTGCAGCCTGATGGCAAAGTCAGAGATTCAGCTCTTGTCATAGTGCAAAAGCAGCTGTGGAATGAGTGAGTGGCTGCCGTCGCAGGAAGCCCTTACGCACAGCAGATGCAGCGGGCTTCGTCCCCCGCCTGCACTCTGCTAGCCATGCTTGACGAGCCTGCGAGCAAGGGACGCTGGCTCAGTAGAAACCAGAGTTGATGTGGCGACTGAACTCGCAGCCCCCTTCGCCACCTGAACGCAGGTGTTGACACAGTCTGCGATTCCCCCTCCCCCGTTTTTCATGTGATAGCTATAATTGTGCAGGATGTTTAAAATGCCACTCTGGGGTAGAAAGTGCTTTTTCAGCTTCTTGGTGATCTTGTTACAGGGGACAGCTGCAGTGCTACAGCGTCGGTCAGAAAATGAAGAGTTTGTTGAAGTAGGAAGATTGGGACCTTCTGATTATTTTGGTATGTTGGGTTCCCTCATGTTAAATATGTACCGTAGTTCGTTGCTGCTCTGAAACACTGTAATGTTTCATAATTTTGTTTTTCAATTTCATTTATTTTTGCTAGTGCATTTTAATTATAGAGAATAGTGGGTCTTATTACATGGCATTTTCATTGCGAGCCCATATTTTGGATAGACCCTCAGGTCCCCCGTGTCTCTTCCCCGTCTGCTTCTCTAATAAGCCTCCCTTGTACTCTTATGCCATCTGTTTTTTTCCTTCTAGGTTAGGCGTATAAGAGAAAATGTGTGATACCAGTTTCTGAATTTTATATTTTAATTGCTTTTTGACTCAGTTTGATTCCTACTCAGTTAATGATTGAGGTATTGGAGTTATTGATTGACTTACCTGTTAGTTGATATTTGTGTTGGTGTTCTGAGACAGGATCTTATGTGTTGTGGCTGGCCTTGGACTGTCTGTGGGTCAGGCTGGCCCTGCGTTTGTGTCCTGCCTCAGCCCCTGGGGTGCTGGGATTACAGGCGTGCACTTTCACACCTGGCTGTGCTAAGTATTTGGTTTCTTTGAATGTGCAGTTGTGGTGGCCGGCACTAAGTCCCGTGGGATACAGGCCTTCGCTGCTTGCTCAGCAGTGCACGCGGTCAGAAAATGTCGGTGGGAGGGCCCGGCCTGCTCTCATCTGCTCCCTTCCCTTTCCAGGTGAAATCGCGCTGCTGATGAACCGTCCCCGTGCGGCCACTGTGGTTTCGCGCGGGCCCTTGAAGTGCGTTAAGCTGGACCGACCTCGTTTCGAACGTGTCCTGGGCCCCTGCTCAGATATCCTCAAGCGGAACATCCAACAGTACAACAGTTTCGTGTCGCTGTCTGTCTGAAGCGTGCCTCCAGTGCCTCCCTCTTGTCCCCTAGTCCGAGCTTTGCTCTGCGGCAGGCGGCTTTGTTTTCCCTACTTGCAGCTCCAAGTGGCCACTGGCATTGCAGCTTCTTGTCTCTTTATATTATTACATGTTGCTTTCATTGCACCATTTTTAATTTAGAGCATGAACCAAATGCTCATACAAATAAATATAGAGTTCTGTGGACTTTCGCTGTTACTGATCCTCTCTGTGCAGTGCTGGCGTTCCGCTGGGCAGGGAGCGCCATGCTTTTTGGTGAGGGTGGTTCCCAGCACAGTGGAGCACCATGGGGTGATGGCAACCCCCTGCAGTTCTTCGTGACGTGATTTCTGGTCCTAAGCGTACTTAGACTGTGGCCATATATGCCGTGCTTCTGTGTACAATACATTTCTCGTTAGGCTGCAACGGTTAGGAAGGATGGACACAGGAAAGCTTAGTGCAGTAGCAAGGCATACGCTTGGAATTCAGCTATTGTAAGGGTGGAAAAAATACCCATTTTTGCTAATTATCAGATGGATATGATTGTTTCAACCCCCTTAATCTGAATTTTCATTTGTCACGATATTTTTGCTTGATTTGTTTCTGTCTGATATTTTCATGTGTGGCTACCTATATCTGCCTTTTAAGTTCGAAACCAAATCACAGACTGCAAATATTGGGTTATGGTTTAACTATGTCTGCATCAGCCTACAGATTCTGATTAGACCTTTATCCAGCTAGTGCCAAATACTGATGATAAGATGCTAAACTGAGGATAGGAATTTGAGATCTGTATTCTTGGTTGTTAATTTTGAGCTTTTAGTAATACATGTTCTTCAGTTAGCTCCAGTATAATCTCCTATGCTGAGTAAACTCATTCCTGGAGGTTGGATTTTCTGAGTGGATACAGGTAGAACAGTCATAAAGAGAAATGGAGGTTACGTTGCTAAAGCAAGGAACCAGATAGATAGTTTTGGCAAATTTGTCCCCACTAACAAGTTCATTGGGGTGTGAGGTTTGGGAAGAAGTTTTTGTACTTGGTTTTACCCTTTTCCCCTCCTTTTTTTATGTCAAGTAGAATTTTCTGGTGGGTAGAGGTGGGTAGTATGTTTGCATGCGGTCTGAAAGACCCTCATGCTTGAAGTCTGGCTTTCATGTCTAGTGTGTTTCTCTGGCAGTTTTTTTTTTTTTTTTTTCTTTTTTAAAGTAAACTTGTGTTTTAAGTCTTAACTGTATTTCAGTATTTTCCAGCCTTATATGTTACATTATTCCAATGATACCAACCATTTATTTTTATTATTGTTATTTTTTAAACAAAATTTCACAGTTCCATAATGTAGACACTTATTTTCATTGTGATTTATATATATATATATAATGTAAGGTTTTATTTGGGGGTGACTGCAAGTATTTCCCACCTTTTTGCAACCGGTTCTGATTAATAATCCCCTCCCTTGACCTTTCCCAGGTAACTTAAATTTGCCATGGTAGATTTTTTTTTTCATAGGCTTGAGAAGTTTATAGATTGTTACTCACTTGAAATAGAAATCTGAGACATCTTAGTTCCATTTTAGTGTGGGCTAGGAAGTCACCTTGTTAAATTTTTTTAATTTTCAAAATCTATATTAAATGAGGCTTTTATGATCTGTACTTACCTTTGTGTTTGGCTACCTTTTTATATTTAAAACTTAAAAATAAAAATTATGTTCATATCAGCTTAAAGCTTGATTTGATCTTTGTTTAAATTGCCAAAAATGTACTTAAATGAATTAAGTAGGATGCCATGAAATTGCAGTTTCATATGTGTATATAACCATGTTCCTGTGTATTTAGAGAGATATACTGCTTTCTAAATGAGTTCTACTTAAACCTATTGGCTTGCTGTACTCCCTTTTGTAGTTTTTAACTTAGACATTTTAAGATAAGCCTAACTTTAACAATTATTACATTTAAAGCTTTATAATTGTGCAATCTAAGTGTATGTGGAAAGTCTCGGCTGGCACAGTGTGTCTCAGTTGATCCTCAGCGCTTACGGAGTCATTATTTCTAGGTCTGCGAGTCTGTTTATGAGGCGTGCTTTGAAGGTGTAGATGGCCAGAGGACCATTTTGTATTGTTTCCTGGTTACCAGTCTGATTGTACTATGTGTGCTGATATATGCTATTTCTTTTGTTATAGATTGTCTTCATAGTAGGTCAAGTAATAAAAGATTAAATAATTTAAATTCTTAAATGAATTGGTTTTTCTTCCCTTTCTCTTTCCGATCTTCCTCCTTGCTTCCCCCCAAATCTGCTCCTCTAGAGAGCAGGAATGAAAAGGGAGAGTGAATTGTGGGATCCATGGTTTGAAAGAGTATCTGTTGTCAGCGCTTTCCAGTTCAGCTGGTTAAAGGCTGGATCTCTTAACCTTGCATGAGGGTAACTAAACTGTGTCAGATCTAACTACCAAGGCATGGAAGGAAAGATTCAGTCAGAAGCCAAAGATGTCCTTTTTATTGAAGGCAGATTAGTCTTGGGGCATTGCAACTTCGCTAGATTTAGTGGGGAAACATCATCTGCAGATGGGTATGTCACTGGTTCAAATTTTAAGGTACACGTTTAGGTACTTAAGATTTCTTTTTAAATTGTGCATGAATAAATACTTATTCCTTAGGTTTCGGGCAGTAAAATACTGAAGTTGCGCACATCAGTATGACGGTACTGGCTTCTCCACGTGTAGTGCTGCTAGAAGGACGTTCTTTAATGTTGGCCTCTCCAGCACCTGCACACCTCCGGCCAGATTCTGTAATCGCTCCTCAGCCCTTTGGGATTGAACCTTGAGCAGCACAGCAGCGTAATGAAGAAGCTTATCTGGGTTGGTTGATTTACTGTGCTTAGTTCTTGCTCTAGAACTGGCACATGTAGTCTCATTGTTTTGTCTGATACTTTCAGTGTTGACATTTTAAAATTGAAGTAGCATGGTGTTAGGGTTTTGGGTGATTGTTGTTTTTATTTTATTTTTTGAAAATTTTTATGTACTTGGTAAAGGGTCTCACTACACAGCTGGAACTTGTAGTAATCCTCCTGTTATTGGCCTCCCCAGCACTGGGATTACAGGCCTGTGCCACCATATCAGGACTTGGTCGCCAGTTCAGTGTGCCCCGGGGGCAGGGCCGGTGCAGCATGGGATGCTGGGAATCGAACCCTGGTCTTTGCGCTTGCCCAAGCAGGCGCTTAGTCTGATGAGCTATCTCGCTGGTCCTATGATTGTTGTTTTTAAAATACTGCTTTGTCTCCACCAACAAATTGGTGGACCCTTTCTTTACTTTCATTAGGCCCAGTGTGTTAATTGAGGTGGAAGAACATGAAGGAACAGTAAATAGTTAAACCTTTTAATTTGTCCCCGAATGTGTCTGACATTATCGTCGCTAGAGGCAGTGATTATATGAACTTAAATGATGTTATATTAAATATCTCCCATTTTATGGGTACGGGGTTTTAGTGAGGAAACTCGCATTGTTGAGTTCTAAAATACACAGTTAGAATTTGTTTCTTGGTATGGGAAGTTGAACTCAGGACCTTGCGCTTGCCATGCAGGCGCTGTGCCGCTGAGCCATATCCCTGGCCCTAAAATCTGTTTCTTGACATGACTTTAGAACTATGACATGACTACACCTAAAACTTAAGTGCACTAATGAGTGTGATTTTGTTTTACGAAAAATTTCCAATTATGTTTACATAGTTTCGTGTTTTGCCACTAGGTGGAGGGCTTTTTAAAAACATGGGTGCTAATCGGAAATCAGTTCCTTTTGTCTGTGTCTTCCATATTTGCAGGTCTGCCTACTTGCTAAGTTCTACCCCAAGGCAGTACAGTATTTAGGGTGCCTTTGTAGCCATTCAGGGACCCGAATGACTGCAGAGCAGTAACGTTTGTGCCTCTAGTGCCTGTTTCCCCAGCTGAGGTTGTAGCTAAGGGACATTGACATTTATTCACAGCTGATGCAAGATAACTCATTTTTGTGGTCTTTTTAGTACCACGTTATTTTTTGCGTTTTCTGTTGATGAATTTCTTATTCAAAAGGCCCGCAAGTGTAGGAATCATGTGTTGACAGATGTTCTGGCCTGCAAAAGAGCTGTGATAGGCCTTATGCAGAGAGCGGGTGTTCTAGTTAGTGAAGCCTTGTCCACTCATGAGTCAGTGCTGTTGGCCATGAGTGTAGGGTGGAGGACTTGGCCACGTAAGAGAGGCGTCTTTATGACGTAAACAGAATTATGTATTGATGGGTTGGCAAAAACAAGAGCAGAGACTCCCAGAGACCTAACCCCGGATTTCCCCTGGGAGCAGTGATTCAGTATTTGCCAGGTCAGCGTCTGACACCTTTATGGGACGTAACACTGTCTTCAAACTCCTATTGTCCTGATTTTTCAGAAGGCTGCAGCAAACTCCTCAAATCCTGTCTCCACAAGCTCACATACTATAGTTTGCTGTCAGAGATAACATGAAATTTTCACATAGAGTCAGGAAAATACGTATTTATTTTGAGAGAAGTTGAGCAATGGTCAGAATGAACAAGTTGGGAGAACTTGATAGTTTTAAAAATAGAATGCTTTCTGGTATTTTAAACAAATGATGTTTTAACGTTTTTAGCAGTAATGGAATGTTGAAAATAGTATGAATACGAAATTCAGTTCTGTTATGTGACATAGCAAAATACATGCCATTTAAAAGCTAGTTTGCGGTCATAGAGGTAGCTGGATTTGACATGGAGCCGTAATCTTCCCCAAGCTCTTCCGGAGGCTTGGAAGTCATTTGTACTTGTCTTTGAATGCCTGCTAGGATACTTTTTGCCCATTTTTCTGGGTGTGATTTCCTGGCTCTTCCATTGGGCCAAAAAAAATGACCTGAAGTAAGAGAGACATGTACTGAGGGGACGCTCTGAGCCGCAGCCGCGCTCCCTTAGCTAAGGACGTTTCCAGGGTTAGCAAGTTTATGACTGGACTGCACACGTGTGGCTGTCGCATTGGGCCGCCTGCCCTGCCCAGTGGGACTGTACTGTGCCGCCCAGTGCGGCAGTCACACCTGCAGGTACCACCAGTGGGGTCAAGCTGGTGGGGACATAGTAAGGTTATTCTGTTAAAGGTAAGTTTTTTTTTTTTTATTTTAAGCAAGCAATTTCAGTCATAAATTGTTACTATGTTGAATTTTTTAGTGGAAAGAACACTTTAGAATGGTGTGATTTCAGTTAGCGTCGCTACACCTTGGTTGTCTTCCTTGTCCACTGGAGGTAGGGTGGTCTGTGTGTGTATGCAGGTGGTTGGAGACGTGTATGTTGATTCTGTGCTTCTGGTAAAGCTCCCTGCGTGTGGTAAGGCCTCGGGCTGGGTGGCCGGCAGCGATGTTGCTAGGGAGGGGCAAGGCTCCGGGGCAAAGCAGCAGCAAGGTGGAACACCGGGGACGGTATCTTCCATTCAGCTGACTTTGGGCATTCTGCAGAGGTAGTAGACGATCCCTGTAGTTGTCTTTTGTCTCTTTAGTGACAGCTTTTTCTTACTCCCTCTCACCTGCAGTGTTTGAGCCTTTGATCTTAGCAGAACAGAAACCATATGATGAAAGTATTTACCTGGTGACGCATCATTGCCTGGAATGAACACATTCCTGTTATAAGCCACGATTCCTTTTAAAAGGGCTTTAGATGTTGGCAGTCTAGGGAGATGATAAAGGACATAGGGACTCGACTGTCCCATAAGGGAAGCTTGGGAAACTTGATATAGTCCTTTCTAAGCTAGCACCAGAGGAGGGCCCTGCCTCTCCAGAAGGCCCAGCTCTTGCGGGTAGGTGGATGACAGTTGTGGGCTGTCTAGGAAAGGACGTGGCTCCTGGGCTCTGGTGGGCGCTAGCCTTTACCCTGCTGTGCTCTAAGCTCAGACCCCTGATGGGCACCCGTGCTGTCCTGGCTTGCGAGGTCCCCCGGTTGTCCCTCTTTTGCACTTCAATTTTATGACTCCCTTCTATGACTGTCCAGAGAAGTCACCGTAGGACAGTCATGGAGCATCTTTTACTCATACTGGGCCAGTGAGGAGAGCATAAGGAGAGGAAGAGGTCTGAGTCGTAGCAGTGGGAAGGTTAGCCATTTGCAGATGAGAGTCTGCTTGAGGTACTCAAGGTGTTTATCTGCACCAGGCGTTACCCTTGTAGGTGCAGTAGGGGTCCGAGGACAGGCACATACTCACTTGCTGTCCTTTTAATTGACTGCTAGACTCCTGAGAACAGGCTGCCTGATCTTGCGAGCCTGAGCCATAGCCAGGCTTCCCAGAAGGTAGTCTGCAGCCTTGATGGAAGCAGTGCTTCCTGGGAAGATGGAGCCAAGGCAGTTCACTGCAGAAGCAGCGACCTTTACACCAAGGGGTAACATCAAGCTGAGTGGATCCCCTTTGATTCAAACATGCCACGCGTCCTTCCTTCCTGAGCTAGTGATTCAGCCCCTGGGACTGTCCTGTGGGTGAGAGAGCGAAAGTCTGAGTCTGCCGCTGGCTCCGGTGTCTCTTCTGAAATTTGGCTGTTGGGTGCTCAGCTCGTCAGGTTAGCCTGGCCTGGGTATGGAGCTGATTGCCTTGCTGGGCCATCGTCGGCTATGACGCTCTGCCCTCCCCGGACCTCTATGCAGCGCCGCACTGTCCCCAGGACGATCTGGAGTCTTCGGTCCAGGGCCAGGAGGTGGGGCTCAGTGAGCACGGGGCTGAGCTGGTCTCCGAGCAGCGACTCCCGCATCACGTCACTCAGCCTGTAGTCAGCCTGGGCCAGGAGCTGTAGGTGCAGTAGTGTCTTCTTCTTTATCCTAAAAAGGCAAAAGCCAGGAACCAAGTGAGCAAACGTGAGGAGGCTAACTAGCTTCTGCAGCAGCTGGTGTCCTCAGAGCCCTCGTCTTTGCGAGTGAATGAAAACCATGTAAGATAAAAAGGGAATGAGTGAAACAGGCTTTTCCCTAGTAGCCTTGTGACTGAGAGCCTGCCATGCTGTTTGACCTCCAGTAACTGGTGTTCCCCTGTGGTTGTGCTGGGCCACATGCATTTGCTTGACGTTGATAAAACTGAAGTGAGTGCCGGGTGTAGTGGTGCACGCCTGTAATCCCAGCACTCGGGAGACTGAGGTGGAGCACTGAAGTGAGTTCAAGGCCCGTCTGGGCTGCAGAGTGAGTTCCACCAGCCTGAACCATGGAGGTAGACCAGCATTCGAATAGCTGACCCTGCCCCTCCACCAGAGGTGATGTCTAGGATTTTTAAGGTAATGCGTAGTGAAATGTTGCCTCTTATTTTAAGATAACTTGTCAGCCTCCACGTTGTTTCTTAACTTCATGTTTCTTTGTGTCAGATTCTAAAATCAAGGACAAAAATATGCAGGAATCAAACTTGGACCCATGTCCAGCTGGCCTTATTGTTTATTATTATTAATTTTTATTATTTTTGGTCATAAGCTGCTACTGCTTATCCTGTTGGTGGAAGGAAGCAGGCAGGAAGACAGGTTTAAATTCACAGAAGTTGATTAAGAATGTTCCTGTTTTGCTTTTTTTTTTTTCTTTTTCTCTTTGTGAGACAGGGTCTCACTATGCAGTTTAGGCTGGCCTTGAGCTCATGCTGTAGTCCTGCCTGGTCCTGAACTTACAGTGATCCTCCTGTCTCAGCCTCCTGCTAGCATACCCGGCTTGAGTTTTCCACTGGACACATGGGGTGGTTTTGCTAAGTGTGAATTGAGATTTATAATTAGCTCGGGACATGTGGCTGAGCAGTTGACATTCCCAGGGGAGGCAGAACGGCCAGAGGGTGCAGAAGTAGGTTTGATGTCCCCAGAGAGCGGCCAGGTAGATGCAGAAGTGCCCCTTCTGTTTTTAAATTGTTTGCAATACACGCTGTTTCTACTGGTTTTGGGGAGCTGGCCCATGTTGGATCATTCTCAGTCCCCCCTTCCCCGCGTCAGTGCCTGCGTCCTGTGTGACTCTGAGGCCCTAGCCGGCTTCGCTCGCACGCTGACCACACAGTGTTGGTGAGCCCGTGTGAGTGCTGGGTGAAGCCGTCTAGTTAATAATGTCAGGGGCCTCAGGCTCTGCACAAGTGGGTCATTATCTGAGTGGGTTACAGACTGAAGTTGGCTGTTGTGAGTTTTAAAAGCAGATCCAGTGCATTTTACGCTGAGGATGAGAAAGGCGGGATTTGCTGGGGGAGTGTTGATGGTAGTGTAAGGAATGGTTCTGCACAGCCACGCCCTGGGCCACTGAACCCCGGAATGTGGTGCCAGCAGAGGGAAAGGCCCCGGAGCTCAGGCCCTTGCTGCCCACCCGCCTGAGGCCTTACATGCAGCACTGCGAGAGAGGCGCGAGGATGGAGATTTCGTCATGGGAATGTCGTCCAAACCTACGAGAAGAAACGGCTTTCATCAGCGGCCTTGTTCTGGGTCCCTTCATGCGCTCCCTGCCTTTCTACTTCAGCCTTGAGTCAGTGGTTGGAATAAAAATGCTAGGGGCCATGGCGGCCACCTTCCTTCGTACCTTCCGGTCACAGAAGCCTCTCGCTCACTACCAAGCGGTCACTCCTTCGCTCCCCAGTTAGGGAGAACAAGCCCTATTCTCTGTCACCAGCTGTGTGCTGCTTAGGAAACTTAGAGCAAACCCCACCCTGTTTCACTGGAGAGCATCCGAGTGTTCTCCAGCTGGGGGAAAACCGGTGATGTGCAGCAGAGATCAAGAGGAAAGAAGCAAGTGGGAAAGTGGGCAGAGAGACAGACCTAATGGAGAAGACCCCCCTTGGGGTCTGTGGGTCCCTCTGAGCAGGGCTGGAGGGGGGACAGCAGGGACACAAGAACTATCACTTACCCTCTTGCATTGTCCAGGTGAATAAGGAACCCGTCGTCCCCGAATTTGGTAAACATCTCGTAGTGGTGACGGTCCATATTTCCTGTCAAGGAAGCCAGAGATGAGACCCAGGTCCGGTAGTGAGGAGGATAGAAGCTCCCGACTTGCTCTCCAGGGAGTGGAGGCCTCCAGCCAGCAGTGCAGAGTAGGGAGGCTGAGGCGGGCCGAACCTGGCATTTCCATCCTCGCCCCTCCCCTAGCCTGGCCAGGGATGCTGATACACGGACCTGGCTTTGTGCCTCGCACAGATCCATGTTGGCTTTCCTGCACCGGCCCTCTCACCCAAGCCCACAGGCGCATGCCACCTTCCTGAAGAGAGTGGCAGCAAGCCGTCTCCCCAGCTCTGAGCATGTGGGTGGGTGCTGGCTCGCTTTGTGACTGTTTCCCTCCTAGCCCCTCGTAGTTACCGTGCGCTGGATGGCAGAGCTACTGGTCTCAGGCTGAGGCCTGCCTGCAGCCCTCCTCTTGATTTGTTCCTTGTGTGCCATCTTACCTTCCGACCTGGCGTCCTTCACTGGGTGAAAGGGGACCTGTGAGTCTAAATCTGCTCTGCTTGCTTGTGGTAGGGGGTGGGCCTGCCTCCCCAGTGACAGTTTTTCAGCTTTGCCCAGTTCTCTGGAGAGAGGGAGCGTGTGTGCTTCTGACCCTTAGACCTGCACTCCTGAGCTGTGGCAGGGACAGGCTGCTCATGCCCACTGAGCCAGGCTGTCACCGTGTTCCCAATCCCCCAACGGGGGCCCTGCACCGGGCGGCCCAACCCTGGGCACCTACCTATTAAGAAGTCGAAGATGGCCATGTCAATGATGTTGAGGAGCCGGTTGCCACTGTTGTATGGGTAGATCTGCTTCACTGTGTCACAGTAAAGGGGGTTGACCTCCCACCTGAGGGTGAGAGAGGGCCTGGGCTGGAACAGCCAGGACGGCACGGCGGGGGCCTCCCTGCGCCTGTGCCTGCTGTCAGAGCCCTGCTTCGCTGACTGCCCTGGGCTGGTGACAGCTTCTCAGGATGCCTGTGGTAGCCAGGCCCATTCGTGAGGCCGCTGAACAAGGGTCCCAAGGGAAAGAGTTGCAGAGTCCGCCCCCCTGCTGAGAGGTTCAGCGCCTTCCACCCTGGGTGCTGGGCTGACTGGCGCAGGCTGTGGGAGGCCAGAGCTTTGTCTCTGTCCTGCTTCTCACGCCTCTTACCCTTGCTTCCCGCCTCCCGGACTCCTACGTTGTCCATAACCCCAGGCCACTCTCTGGCATTTTTCCTCCCAGATGGTCCTCTGCCTACCACACACCCCTTCCCCTAAGTCTTCACAGATTGTCACGTCTCTCAAGAAACCTCCTACGTCCTCGTTTTGTGTGGTTGAGACGCACAGTGCGCCCTACCCCTCCAGTCAGCTAGTGCTGGCGCCTCCCGCAGTCCTGTGAGCTCCTCTATTATGGAACATACTGCGCCGGGTAGTCGGAATCTGGGTGTTTTTCTGTTCTAGGCCCAGGAGCTTCCTGAAGAGAGAACCCGTGCCTTCTATTTCTGTCTCCTTAAGGGTCTCAGTACATTCCAGGGAGAGAACAGATCCAGTACAACCGGGCCCAGCACTAACATGCAGTGGGACAGAGGCTGCTTGTGGGGCCCAGCTGTGGCCCCCCAGGACCGGCCTGCAGGCTGTGTGTGTGGGGGGCTGTGCCCAGGGCACCCACTCACTCCTCTTTGCCTGCCAGCGAGTAGGAGCGGATCCAGGGGTTGGGCACGGACAGCCTGGGGGCCAGGTTGAGAGACGGCAGGAAGGCGGCCAGGGATCCCTCCAGCAGGTGGGGGTTGCCGCAGACTGCGTACTCCGTCTTGCACATGTACGGGCACTTGGCGAAGAAGCACACATTGCTGGCTGCAGGAGGGACGAGAGAGACGCATGGTGAGGCTGTGTGTGTGGTCACATGCAGCGGTGGCCTGACCTGCCACGAGCAGGGGCAGAGCTGGGGTGGCGGTGCTGTCACCAGGCTCCTGACATCCCAGAGTAGAGACAGTGAGACAGCCGGTGTCTTTGGGCCCTATCCACATTTTGAACATTCTCCCTTACCACAGGGTGGGGCAGCACTGTAGGTTCAGGGCCCACAAGTGCTGGTGGGGTTCACACGCACACCTGTCCCCACCCAGAACCTATCTTGGGTTATGCTGAGACCAAGACGGCCGTGTCCGATCCAGCCTCTGCCGTCCCAGTCACGGGTGCGCGGGGGTCAGGCATACTGCCTTGCTGCATACTTGGGAAGAGTACGGCTCTGGCCTGGGCCTTACCTGGGGACACAAAGAACACACTCTGCAAGATCTCATTCTTGGTGACCTCTAGGATTTCCTTGGTGACATTCACCAGCCTGCCCACTGTTGGGGGCACCCGCCGGAAGTCCAGAATCCTGAGGGAGAGAGGGCTGTCAGCATGAGGTTGGGCTGGAGGCAGGGACAAGCCTGTCTCCGGGTCAGCCTACGGTAGGTAGAAATGGCTCGTGCTCCTGCTGTACCGAGCAGGGGATGCTGAGGGCAGTTCTGCAGGGGCAGAGCTGGTCAGGCCCAGGGCAAAAAAGGGGCAGAGAAGGCAACCGTATCCCTCAAACCTCTTGCGAGACTGTCCCACCCTCTGTACTGTTCTTTTTTACCCCCTTTGGTCTTACTGAGACAGGGTCTCGCTGTGCAGTTCAGGCCGGCCTTGAGCTCACTTTGTAGCCCAGGCTGGCCTCAAACTTGCAGCGTTTCTCCTGCCTCAGCCTCCCGAGTGCTGGAATGATGGGTGCGTCACCACGCTGGCCCAAGCGGTTTCAGGTCAGCACTTCTCAGACCTAAATGTGCAGAATCACCTGGGGATCTTGTTCTGACTTAGGGTAAGGCTGAGACTCAGCATTTCTAGAAAGTGTTTGGGGCGTGTGGTAAGAATCCGCAGAGCACACTTCCCTAGCAGTGAAGGAGGGCGTGCTGTCACCTTGTATTGTCAGCTTAAGACTTGGGTATGTGGGACCGGGCAGCTTCTCATTTCAGGTCAGAATAGCGCCAAGAACTGGGTCACAGCCGCGGTGGCAGAGGTGGCAATGTGGGCACTGCGACAGGGTTGGTTCGTTTTAGAAATGTTCATTTCCCTGCTGTAGAAGACCCTGCATTTTCTAATCGATGGGCTTGCAGAGAGAGTTTCAAGGCACAGAGAGCACTGAGGTTTGGACAACAGGACGAGCCAGAAGGGACAAAAGGCAGGATGCTCCAGTCAAGGGCCCGTCCAGTGCCCCTGCTGGGGCGTACCCCCCACGGCCCACACCAGACCCACCTGTCCAGATGGAAAGCTGCGATCTCAGCGTTGTGCCTCTGAAAGTCAATGAAATAGAAGAAGTCTGCGGGTGTCTCCTCGTCCCGCTGCTGTCTGGAAGGAAGAAGGGGGTCACGCACTGGACTCAGGCCTCGGCCGAGAGCCTAGAAGAGAGCTGGGAGGCAGAAGCAGCGAGGAGGAGGGACCTGCTCCTCTGCCTCACCTGCGCCTAGAGTGGCAGGCCAGGGGTGGCTCCTGGCTCCCTGGGCTAGGAAGAGATGTGGAGCAGGAGCAGTCAGACTCCCTGCCGGATGGTACGCTTGGGCACCACTTCACGTTTCCTACTTCACTTCTGGGGATGGTGGCTGATTCTTTAAAAAAAAAAGCAACCCAGTAGTTTCAAGGAAAGAAATACAGCCCTTGTGCAGATGTAAAGATAGGAGAGAGGACAGTAGCAGCACCAGTACCTTCGCAGAGTCGCCTACCCAGAGATGCAGAGCGGCAGGTGTGAGCCAGAGCTTGGGAAGCGCCCTAGAGGTGGAGTCGAGCGTGACTGAGGGCTGAACTGGGAAAACTGTGTCTTCAGGTCATTTGGGATAATGTGGAAACTAAGCCCGCTAGGAACTAAGGTGAGTGCTAAGAGTGGGCCCAGCCGGAGGGAAGAGGGAGGCCGGCTTAGAAGCTACTGATACATAGATGGATTCCTGAAAGGCACTGGCCGGCTCCGAGTGATGGGCTGGCTGGGCATGCATGTGCCGGAAGCTGCCCCGCTGCCCCCCCCCTCCTCCTCCTCCTCCTCTTCCTCCTCCTCCTCCTCCTCCTCCTCCTCCTCCTCCTCCTCCCTTCTCCTTCTCCTCCTCCTCCTCCTGCTCCTCGCGGAGGCATCGTAGGCAACTTTCGGCCCCTACATTGACTTTTGTCTTGATCATAAACATGAGAGACTGATGCTGTTTGGGTCACTTTATGATCCACCGTGTGGAGCTGTCACGGAGGCTGCAGACGCAGTGTAAATAAACATCATGTGGCAGAGAGCTGTGCGGCACCCGCAGCTGAGATGGTGAGGTGCGCTTCACCAAGGAAACAAGCTAGTCCTGAGAGCCGCAGGGCGCCACCAGAGGGAGAGCGTGTGTTGCAGAGGCACTCCTGCGCGGCTCGTGCGGGGCCGGCGCGCAGTCCTGACCCACTTCCCTTTAGCTTCGCCCGGAATTCTGTTCCCATTGTGTTTTAATTCCTGAATCGGGCATAAGGATGTGGTCTCTCGTGGCACCCCCTGGGTTTGCTAAACATTTCTTTAGTGTATGGAAGATGCTAGAAGTGCTCCTACAGTTGAACACTGTCTTACTTCACATCCACGTTTCTCACTGTGCAAAGCACGTACGTGCAGCGGACAGCGCAGCATGTTGGAGAGCATCCTCCTCATGTTGAGAATGTGCATACAGCAGCCAAAGGTGAAGTCCTGCTGGGGACATAGCTCAGTGGCATAAGCACCTGCCTGGCAAGTGCAAGGTCCGGAGTTCAATCCCCAGTACCACAATAAATTAATTAATTAATTAAAATAAATAGATAAGTAAAAAATAAAATTCAAAGATAAATTCTTATTTCCCCTCTGGGATAGGGAAAACAGAGGCTTTTCATTTGAAATTACAAAAGAGATTATGTTTTTTTTTTTATAAAGAAATACATCTTATTTATTTTTTAAAAATTTATTGGGGGCCTGCCCCTCAGCTCAGTTCTTTAAGTGGCTGCTTCAGCAGAGCAGTCAGGCTCAGGTTGCTGTGGTTCGATCCCCACAACACAAGCCAGCCAGTCATGCCTTGAAGGCATTCGGAGCAAAAAAATAAAAATTTATTTATTTTTTTTGTATTTTAGGAAAGAGTCTACAAGGAGTTCAAAGTCTCACTACTAGATCGGACTCAGTGATCTGACTGTTTACAGCCTCCCAAGAGCTGAGATTACAGCCAACCCGTCTCAATTGCCCTCTCACTGTGCCCCGGGGGCGGGCCTGGCACTACAGGCTTGGGGATTGAACCCCTGGTCCCGCGCCTGCTTGCAGGCACTTTAACTGCTGAGCTATTTGGCCAGCCCAAGAAATACATTTTAAAATGATACTATATTTGAATTTTGGGTTCATTCTTATAAAATTGTATGTTCAGATAGGTTAGAACATAAGAACAGGTAAAAATTACTCTTATTACCAAGTGGTGGAGGCTTTTGCATTACAGTTGGGGCTGGGCTGGGAGACGCTGGTTAACTGGAACGATTTTTGGTTTGTCGTTGGCTAGCAGAGCATTTTGCTGCAAACAGCACTGAGAGTCATTCCTGGCTGGTACGGGAACAGTTCAGGTGGAGCGCATCCGTGCCACATTAACTTCCAGTTTGTGTAATTTAGAGATATCTCTGTACCACGTGTGGCATTTGTTCTAGATGGAGTTGATGGGTCTGGTGAGTTGTGGGGAATGTGGCATATTCAGCATGGCGTCTACGCTTGTTAATACCTCATATTCCCGTGTCAGTGGTCCTGGTGTGGCCTCTAACTGTAACATTCTTGTGAATACACAATAACTGTGGGTGACTAAGTGTGACAGTAATTTACAACTCTGTACTGTTAGAAACTTGCTGGTGGCTCTCCCATTCAGCTGGGCATTGTGCCAGAAGGGGCCGGGGAGATGGTTGCCAGGGTGAAGGTCCTGGGTTCAGTCCCCAGGGCCACAAACAAGCAAAACCCTCACACTCGGGTGGCTGAGGCAGGAAAGAGAATCACTCGATCCCAGGAGTTCAGGCCCACCTGGGCACTGGAACAAAACCTCAAGTCTTTAAAATAAGTAGAACAAATAGATAAATTATTTGATTTTAATTGCCTGTATATAAGAGGTGATCTTTCTCAAAACTGTCCCTCAGAAGTAGCCCTTGTACACTCAAGCTCTAGTTTTGTTTCTCAAATGATAGAACTGCCCTTCACTTTATTTTGGGTGAGATGGATTAATGAGAAATGCCCTTCCTTGGTGTTGGCTCTGTGGCCGATGGAGTTGGTCAGAATAGGTTGTTGAAGGACTGGGCTGGTAATGCATACCCGTGATGCCAGCTCTCGGGAGGCTGAGGCAAGAGGATTGTTGAGAGTTGGCGTCCAGCCTGGGCTACAAAGTGAGCTCAAGGCCAGCCTAAACTGCATAGCAGGACCCTTTCTCAAAAAGACAAAAACAGGGCTGGTCAAATAGCTCAGTGGATTAAAGTGCCTGCAAGCAGGCGCAGGGGTTGGGGGTTCAATCCCTGGGCCTGCTGTGCTGGCCCCGCCCCCCGGGGGGCCCAGGGAGAGGGCAGTTAGACTGGGTGTGGTGGCACATGCTTGTAATCCCAGCTCTTGGGGGGCTATAAACAAGCGGATCACTACAAGTCTGATCTAGTAGGGAGACCAAGAACACCCTGTAGACCCTTCCCTAAAATAAAAAATAAAATAAAAATAAAAAAGACAAAAACAAAAGAGCAACAACAACAAAAGCCCCAGGTTGTTGGTGGTGATGGGGTGGAGAGGGGGCACGATCTTACTCCTGGTTTAGCCTTTCCTCCACGTTTGATTCTAGCATTGACTCAGTTGTAAAGAAATTCTGGCAAGTGAAATGTGAGCCTGTGAGGGGATTTCTAAATTCATAAGTTGTTTTCTATAATAGGACTGAAAAGCCAGTGACTAAAAGCAGAAATTCACTGGCTTCATGCACGTCTTTGGAACACATTAGAGGACCACAGGACTTGGGTGGTGGGGACCTCTTGTGGCTCTCGCTCACACACATTGTCTCCAGGGGGACATTCCAGTGGGCTGAGACCTGGAGGTTGGCTTCAGGAGGCTCGAGTCTGGGTTTTCTGACTCTTGGTCCCAGAATGGTGCACACACACACACACACACACACACACACACACACACCCCAGGCTGTGCAGACCACAAGACCTATCAGTGCACCCTATGTACGTATCACAGCATTCCGAGTTACATAAGTTGCTCTTCTTAGGAACAAAATGTAAGTTCATGTGTCCTGTGGTTGGCAGAGCCTTTGTTCATTGTCTTAATTTTTTAAAACAAATACAGTTTGATGGAGGCCTATAAACTTTTTGACACTTAAAAGAGAGTGTTCTGGGTGTGGTGGCACATGCCTGTCATCCCAGCGCTTGGGCGGCTGAGGCAGGCAGGAAGACTGCCGCAAGTTTGAGGCCAGCCTGGACTACACAGGGACTTCAGGGCCTGCTTGAACTACAAAGCCAGCCCCTGTCTCAGAACAAATAAACAGAAAAGGCGAGATTTCTAGGCCTGGCAAAGAGTGGGGCCGTATTTGTCATCTTCTGGCCAGAGCTCCCCGGGGCTGCCATGTGGTATGGTTAAGGAGGAGGGCATCTCTTACCTCATGGGTTTGAACATGGCCTTCCCGAAGTCTGAGAACCTCAACACCAGCTTCAGGTGGACCCCGCTGGGCTTCACAACTGGGGAGGTGAAATGGGTGTTAAGGGTGCTTCCATCATCCCCTAAATGAGGCTGCCAGACCCTAAGAACGAGGACTCATTTCTCAAAGCAGGGCGGACTCCATGCTGTCAGGCCCTGGCAGGTGGGTGCAGGGGCTCAGTGCCTCTTCTGCCAGGCCAGGAAATGGCAAAGGATAGGCTCGGATCCCCAATAGCTAGAGCCCCAAAACCCAAAGAATGACCTACTCTGAAGAACCCAGTTCTCTGCGTTTCAGTTGCGGCCTTGTGGATCCCAGTCCACCACCTGATACACTGGACCTGTGTGAGGATGTCTCTTTATGGGGCACTCTGCACCTGCACAGGGATGAGGCTTGGCCCCTTGGAATCAGCGGGTGCTGCCTCCTTCCGTTTGCCCTGCTCGCCACCCCCATCACCTCTCCAGCCCTGGCTGCCCCCTAAGGGCCAGGACAGAACAGCGAATGGCAAGTGCTGGATTAAGGGAGAGGGAGGCCTAGGGCTTTCACACCACATCACACAGAGACCTTTTTGATCTCTGCAGCACGTGCAGGTAAGTGTGTGTCTGACCGGGGTCTTTTGTGTCAAGCCCATCTGGAACCAGTGTATCTATTTAGGTGGTGCTGGGGCTTGAACCCTAGGCCTTATTTGCCCAAGGCAAACATTTCATCTCCAGCCCCTTTCCCTTCTTAAAATTTCATTTTGAAGCAGGGTCTTGGTAAGTCACCCAGGCTAGCCTCAGACTTGGAACCATCCTGCCTCAGCCACCCGTGTAGCTGGGACTACAGATGTACACTTCATACCTGGCAGGCCAACCTTTTATGATTTTTTTTTTGGGGGGGGTCTCTTTTGAGACAGGGTCTCGCTATGCAGCTCAGGCTGGCCTTGAGCTCATGTGTAGCCCAGGCTGGTCTGGAATTCACAGTGATCATCCTGCCCAAGCGTCCCCAGTGCTGGGCCCACAGGCCTGCGCCACCACGCGGGCTACATTTTTGTATGTATGTATGCAATTTTTTTTGCAGAACCAGGGATTGAACTCAGGCCCTTGCACTTGCTAGAGAAGCGCTTATTCCACTGAGCCATACCCCTGGCCCTACATTTTTGATTCTCTTGATGACCTGTCCCTGGTGGCTCACAGCCCTGGCTGCGTTTGAGTCACTGAGTCACCAGTGAGCCTAATCCTCTCGGGTGGCGCCCTAGGGCGCTCCAATCTTTAACCTTTGACACATCACCGTTAAAGCTCCCCAGGTGGTTCTCATGTGTCTCCAGCATCGCAGACCGCTGTCCTGAGCAATCATAACTGCAATAACTTGAGGTATTGCAACAATTTACAGTTCAATTTCGGAAAATCAGTACAGACTGAGATCGTGCATTGCTAGCAAATGGTACCTACAGTGCTTGCCCTGACCCACGGCCTGACCAGCAGAATCCTACGCAGAAGTTCTCCTCAAAACCTTTTCTTTTCCTGGGTGGGTGGGGAGAAGTGTGGGGTCTCAGTGATCCCCCCCCCACTGCGGAGGATCTGGGGTTCTTATGGCCATATGTTGCGGGCCTGCGTGGATGTGGGGCTGGGACACTTACTCTGGGTGCAGTCACATGCCCCCAGCAAGGCTTTCTCGTCCTGACTGTAATCTGAAAGGAAGAGAAGGCCGCCGTGAGAGCCTGCAGCTGTACTCCCGGGACAGCCCCCCGCCCCCGGGGGGCCCTTGCTCTGGCGCAGACCAGCCACAGCAGGGGCTGGATACATCCCGTGGATCTCAGCCCTGACCACTGAGGAAGGGTTCACCCAGACCCGGGAGCCGTGGTTCCTTCTGCTGCACTCCAGCCCCGTTCTAGCCCCTTCAGGGACATCCCAGCCACCCCAGCTCCACGATTGTCTCAGCTGATTATTCTGTATCACACAGACCGTTGTGTTTGCGAGTACAGACTCGGGGGCGGCAGACCTGTGTAGGAATCCCCGGATCCTGTCTCTAGCACTGCGATTACCATGTTAATCTTTTTTAGTCTCAGTTTTCCCACTTGCAAAATGGCAATCATGATGTTCGCACATAAAGTCACTGTGTAAGAGGTAACACAGGGCCCGTTTTAAAAGAAGCACCCAAAAAATAACAGTCAGCTTTCTGTAAGGGTCCTAGTGCCTCAATTTGGGGATTTGGAGGAGATCAAAGCTCTAAGAGCTCTTTGGACGCGTAATATTTCCTTCTTACAACCTCTCTGTCACACGCCAGTGGCAAGCCTGTGACGTTTACGGCAGGCGTGTGGCCCGCGATGAGGAAGCCCGTCCATCCCGCCTGTCCTTGTGACCTCACCCGCACTGATGGAGGGCAGGTGCCTCATGTCGTGCAGGAGCCTGCTGACGACGGGGCTGGACCGCGAGTACAGCCCTTGGCGGCTGATGCCCAGGTGGAACTGGATCCAGCTGGCGTCGAACTGGAGCTGCAGGGGCGGCTCCTGGGAGGTGAGGTTCAGCTGTTCTCTGTAGATCTTGTGTCGTCTGAAAGAGCAGAAGGGCATGCTTGGTTTTGCTTTTAAATGGGAGGACCCAAAATGCATTCCCTAAGCCAGGGCATCGAGCACCTGGTAGGGGCCACGCCCCGCGCCACCATACTAGGGGGTGCGCCGCGGCTCCTGCGGGCCCTCAGCCTGCTGGCTCTCCAGTGAGTGATACAGGCTGTATGCGTCCTGTGATGAAAAAGGGCAGGTTTAGGAGTAGAAGTGGAGGTCTTCTGTGACACGGGACCTCGGGAGAGCCCGAGGCTTTCTGCGACTTTCCCAGTACAACACCCTGTTCTGCATCTTCCAGCACTTTATACCTAAGGGGTCCCGATCTAGGGAGGTAGGGGAAGAAGGTCGAGGGTAAGAACCGTGGGCAGCGGGGGTCCTGCAGTGGGGGCCGAAGCTGAGTTAGGTGAATCAGTACATCAAAGAAGAATGAACTAGCCGCTTGCCGGCTGCCCTCGGTGGCCTTTTCAGCAAGAGCAAAAGTGAACAATGATGGTGCTGCTATTTGGAGATTGAGAGTCCAGGTTGGGAGCGGCCTTGTGTGTCTGTGAAGTCAACAGGGCAAAATGGAAGGTCAGTCTCCAAATCCCGCACGCATGCCCGCGGGGGCTTAGGGCTTCAGCACAAGAGGGGGCGGAGTGTGCAGACAGTCAGCCCAGGCCACCCCTCGCTGTTCATCTGTTAGGGACAGTCACTTGGGAAGCAGACATGCTTTGCGCAGCTGTTGGCTCTTGCTATTTTAGAGCTGGGTGAGACTTATTTCTCTCTAAAAAGGTAGTTTTTTTTTTTTTTTCTTTTCAGACACTGAGCTACCCCTGACCAAGTAAAAGAGTTTCTAGTTCCTTCTTTGAGCTGTGTAGCTGTGTATCAAAACACTTCATCAGACAGGGAGGTTGATAACAAAACAGAGTGACAGTGATACAGAAGCCAAAGGCTGAGGGCAGGCCAGATAGCTCAGCGGACTAACGTGCTTGCTTAGGCAGGCCCAGAGACCAGGTTTTGGTCCCTGGCACCACATGCTGTGCCAGCCCTGTCCACGGGGTGCGCTGAGACAGCAATTGAGACTGGGCCTGGTGGTGCACGCCTGTAATCCCAGGGCTTGGGAGGCTGAAAACAGGAGCATCACTGAGTCCAATTTGCGTAATGAGACCCTGTAGAGCCTGTACTAAATACATTTAAAAAAAAAAAAAAAGCCAAAGGCTGCTTGAGAGACACCATCTGTACTTTCTCTCCCTGCAAATTTGATAGAAAAAGGCACAGAAAGAGGCGTCCATCACTGTCTTTCCTATTTAAGGCCGTAATTTCTCTAGATGCTCAAGAAACTCAGAGGAGGAAGTGGCAGATTCTGCTTCTACCAGGCCTTTGGGCTGTCAGGAACAGATCACCCTGGTAAACTGGACCCTAGTTACTTCTGGCTACTTCTTGACTCACTCTTGGGACTCGGGGATGCACTGCACGCCACTTCCTGTGCTGTCCCATCCCACCCTCTGCACTCACTCCTCCCCCTGGGAAACACCACACAAGGGCCAGGGCTTCAGGCCTGCAGCTTGGATCGGACCTCCCGCTGTATGCATTCTGCCCGTGAGTCCGTCTTGCAGAATTTACGCCCGAGGTCTTCGGCGACTCGTGTTCAACAGCTGGATTTCCAGCTCGTTGATGTCAGACATCAGTTTCCAAGTCTGGCTGGGAGTTTCTTGCTTCTGCGCCAAATAAACGATGTTGTGCTCTGCTGGGTTGCTCGCTCTACCTTTGCTCTCGACCCAGGACTCAGTCAGGTTTCCTGCTTAGATGGGTTCAGAGTCTTGAAATATGCCGGGTTCTCGAATTTCCACTGAGTTTCTAATCAGGAATCTCCTTCAGGAAGCTGATCTTTGTATTCCATTTCCATTGGCATCTAGGACCCTGTGCTGTCTTTGGATCTAACCCGACAGCAGCCATTTTTGGCCTGTGCCTCTTCCTTCTATTTATCCCTGTTTCTGGGTCTTTCTTCCTTTTAGATTCTTTCCCCTAAGATCTCTCCTCCAGAGATCACCTCCTTGGCCCTGTCCTTGCGCATTTGCCTTGTCTGATGAGCCTTTTGGGACTCCTGTTTCTTTTTCTCTTTTAACCTGTCACTCTGTTACTCAACTTTGATTCCGAAAATAGGCAACAGGAAAGAAAAACTTGGTGTAGCTGGATCTCAAACCGTGACTTTCGACATCGTGGTTGGGAACATGCTATACCAGGCAGAAGAGATAAAAACTGGAGATTTGGACTAGTGAAGCGGCGGTAAAGGGAGCGGTAGGGTCACTGTCTCATTTATCCTGGAGCAGCTGCAGGAAAGGGGCCTGACGTGCGGCCTCCCTCGGTGCATCTAGCTGTATTAGAAAGCACTTTCCAGCAGCGAGCCAAAAATTCTTCTGCAGCTTCCATCAGCAGCTTTTGATTTTATGCCTAGAGATAGGCAGAACAAATTCCTTTCTTACGTTATAGCCTTTAAAATATTCAAAGATAGCTATCATGTGACCCTGGGCTCTTCCCATCTCTAGGGTAAATTCCTCTGACCACCCTTCGTAGGCTGGGGATTGGGATCCATTTCTTTAACATTTCTTTAATTCCCATGTGGTTGTTTTTTTTTTTTTTAGTATGAGAGACTGCTCTAGTTTACTGAAAGGCTTGTCGGCATCTACAGATGTCATAAAATTTATGTAATCCGTTACTATGTCCAATTACATTCACTGAATTTTAAAATTTTAATATAATCTCACTTTTCAAACCAAAACCAAAAAAATTAAAAGCCATGTTCTGGTGTCTTCTCTATATCATGTGTCTGAACTTTATATTCTATTTTCGGGTGGTCCTGGGGGTTGAAGGCAGGCACACTGAGCTACAGCTCTAGTCCTTTTATTTTATTTTGGGACATTGTAGTCCCAGCTGGCCTCAAACAAGCTGTCCCCTAGCTGTGGTTCCAGAATAGCTGGAGTTAGTGTGTGCTGTCATGCCCAGTGGCGTTTTTTTAGAAGGCCACATCCCAGTTGATGTGAGAGTCCTGTGACTCACTCGCTTCGTACTTCTCTTGTCAAGTTCTGCTGTCTGTTTTCTTCTTGTTTGATGAAAAGTGTGTTTAGCTGGGTTTCCTTTTGCTCTCATCAGAAGAAAAGCTGTCAGGGTAGGGCGTGTGCTGCCCTGTGCTTGCTGGTCCAGCGTTTCCACTCCGAGGACAGTTTCTGCTAGAATATGTGTATAATATAGGAGATCATTCAGATTTTATTTTTATAGGACCCTAAATTTATATTTGTGGGGATTTTGTCCATTTTACCTATATCTTCTTTTTAAAAATTATTTGTCACGGGGCTGGGGAGATGGCTCAGTGGAATAAGCACTTCCTTGGCAAGTGCAAGGGCCTGAGTTCAATGTCCGGTAAAAAAAAAAAAAAAAGAAAAGTCCAAAAATTATTTATCACCTATGCTTATGATACACAATGACATTCACTGTGAGTACGTGATACGCACACACAACCTGTCTTAATTCTTTTTACGTCCTCTTGTTTTCCCACCCTCCTCTCCTCTGTCTCGGCTCCCTTACCATTTATAGTAGGTCTATCTTTCTGTTTTCCTTTTGCTATTATTTTGCTCTTTATATATACTTTGGAGTTTTCATGAGAGGAAGCAGATGTTATTTAAACTCGTGTGTCTGATCTATTTCACTTAACATTATGTGTTCAGGGCACACTGTCCTACAAATAACTCATACCGCTCCTTCTTTATAGCAGAATAGTATTCCATTATATATATATATGCCACCTTTTTTTTTTGGTATTTTTAGTACAGGGTCTACAGGGTCTTGCTACGTAGATCGGACTCTAGTGATTCTCCTGTTTTCAGCCTCCCAAGTGCTGGGATTACAGGCATGTGCCACCACGCTCAGTCTCAGTCACTGTCTCAGTGCCCCTGGTACAGAACACTTGAGGTTCGAACCCCAGCCACTGCGCTCTGCCTGAGCAGGCACTTTAGTACTCTGAGCTATCCGGCTGGCCTTTCTTTTGCCTTTTAAAATCCATTTTGATCTTAGTTTTTGCAGAGCGCTAAATGTTTATACTCCCAGAAATTCTCAGGTTGAAACTTAACCCCCAGAGTGACAGTGTTAGGAGGCAGAGCCTTTGGGAGATACATTACTGTTGTTGCCCTGTGATCAAAATACCCCATGCAAATCAAGTAAAGGAGGAAGGATTTATTGTGGCTCTTGGTTTTAGAAGTTTTGGTTCATGGCTGGTTTGGTTGCTGAGGGGCCGAGGTGAGGAGGGTGTGAAAAGCAACGGCATCCAGAATGAGATGCAATTCTTTGGATTGTTCAGAGTGGAAGACAGGAGGATAGTCACCACCACATTAGAAACATGTCCTGCTATTAATGTAACCAAATATGGGGATATATTTTGGGATCCGTATCACATACCTCTAAGAAAGTATGAGAAATTTTATCATAGGCAGAATTCTAAAACTGGCCTCCAAGATTCCATGATGTCATCCCCTGGAACCCATGATTCCATGTACATAGCTGGGCCTGCTCCGCCGCTGGCTCCATGCCATCACATGATCCCTTACGTGCAGAGGTCCTCTCTGGCTCGGAGAAGGAGAACTCGGAAAGGTAAGAAAGTACCAGAAAGATCCGACTCTGCTTTGTTGGCTCTGTAAGTGGACTGGGGACATACACGGGCGCATGAGCCACCTCAAGGATCTGATGTGCTCTCGGCTAGCGACCAGCGAGGAAGTGTGACCTCAGTCCCATGACTACAAGGACATGATACTGTCAATGACCTGAGTGAGCTCAAAAAGAAAAAAAAAAAAAAAAAAAGAAGGCCCTGGGCCTCCAGGTGACAACACAACACCCGGGAGCTGGCAAAGAATGAAAGACCCAGCCACCCAGGACTGCTGACCTGCAGAGCCAATACATTAAATCTCCTAAGCTTGTGGTCTCCTTGTACACAGCAGGCAAAACTGATACATATTTGTTGCA